AATATAGTATATCACCTCATAACACTCAAGGCTAATATTTTATTGCACTTACTGGAATGACCTTGATCACAGCCTCTTCATGATCCTTGTTTTGGATTCCTTTTCTATTTGGAGGCCTCAAGATCATTGAGGCCAACTTCAAGGCTGATCTTTCTTTGAATTCTAAAAAAATATTCAACAAAACAATGTACTAAGAAGCTGCTCATTATCTTTGTTTTCTCTCAATTACCTGATGAGTCATCATTCCTTTTTTTTCTTCTTTTTCATGAATTAGTTTTTTTAAAGTCATAATTTATTTATTTATATTCATTGATTAACTGCCCTATTTCATCATGGTCACTGCAGGGGGACAGAATGGAAACAACACAAAGGGAAAACATGGGAACAAAACACCCATGTCAACAAAATACCATGATTGAAACATAAAATATAATATAGACAAAATGAAGCCAAACTTTAGAAGAGAATGAAGATTTTGTTTGAATTTTCTATTGATTTATGTGATTCTGTTCCCATGTAAACTCACTGTGACATCAGTATGAAATAGGGCAAATAAAGGTATTTTGGGACTCTGGGAATTCATGTAAAACTTGCATTCACAATTCCTCCAAAGAAAGAGGTAAATATGAAGTGGAAAAAATTATAAAGTTAAAAAATGTTTCTGTTTTACCTTCTTCTTGGCATCCACTGTYAATGACAGCAGTCATTTCCAAAAATATTTTTTCATGTTTGCTRTTCTTTTTGGCATAGCTTAACGTCCGGCAGCTCCAAACATCTTTGAAGCTGCTCTTCATCTGGGTCGTCAGGTCTGGATTTCCCATTACTCTTGCAAAGTCAGCTTTAATCTGTTAACAGATATTTAAAAATAAATAAATTTAGACTCATCTCTCTCATTGAAGAGTATTCAAACTGCTAAATAAATTTGCTACATGGATTAGTGAGAGGTAGAAATAGATGTGGAGAACATAACCTGAAATCAAACTGCAGACAGCTATTATTTTTACAGGTTTAGGTCCACTAAAGAAGCAACTGAATTAGATCCAATTAGAAGTTATAAGTTGATTTTATGGAGTAAAGAATCATCAGAGAACCCAGAGAACAAATATTACCCATGCTTTCTAAATTGTTTGAAGGTCCTGATAATTACACATTATCTTGTACACTGTAGCTGATTTACACTTACATAGAGCATACTCTGGACAGGTGGGAACATGTTAACAATTTCTTTGAGAGGCTGTTGCTCAATGGGAACCATCTCTCTTCTTTTTGCRTAGGTTCGGTTCATCATTTCTTTTATGTTGCCATGGTCCTTTCTCGTCTTCTTCCACTCCTGCTTTATTGCAAGGATTGTACCCTTCACTTCTTCTTCACTTTGATCATCTGTAGGGACCACCATCCAGGGTTTTTGTTTGGAGAGTTTTGGATTGAGGCTACTGGCTGCTTTTTCTTTTGTACGTTCTGTGTCTTGGTTGGTTCTTTT